ACCTCGGTAAGACTGTCTCAAACTCGTTCTTGTCAAAGCCCTGAGACTATAATGAGTTATAACTCAGGAAATGGAGACATAATAGATATATAAGGTCGCGGTGATTATCTTCCTCCTCCCATACGATCTGCAATCTACTATACTAGATTATTTGTTAGTCTGCATAGAGCCTTTGGCAATAAAAGCCACCCGAGATCGATTTTCATCGCTCTTCGCATCGAGGAATATCGAACGAATAAAACACACTTTTCGTCTGTTTACAGAAGAAACTTCCACGTTTTCCATTAGGACCAAACGGTTGAAATGTGTATACCTACGATATCTGTTCTATCTCCACTACTGAAATTATTTCCTGCATAATTGATTATATACCTTCCTTTTTATTTTTGATTTAGAAGCAATAGGGAAACAGGGGGGTTCTTTTTTGCAACATAAAGTCTGTATCTTTGTGGCGGTATCTTTATTTCAGGAAAAAAATCTTAACTGATAAAGCCTCTAAACAAAAAATAGTTCAATTGTCCGTCAACTAATTGTTTCAACAACCGTCAAATAATTGTTTTAATTTTACGGTTTTTAGTAGTTTTTACAACAAATGTGAAATACCTAGATAGATTGTTTCCATGAAATTACGTTTATATTAATTTATCATAACTCTCTTGTACATGATGACCACTTTCTTATCTTCTATACAGGGTAATCCGAAATGTATTCTGGAAACTTTGGCAGCATATTCTGCAGATAAAAATAGGTAAAAGTTCGTATAAATGTATGTCCTAAATTGCTTAGTTTCGGAGATACAGGGTGTAGAAATTTTATTTTTATTCCGATTTTTTCTATTAATGATTTCAGAAGTAACGTCAATATTTGGTTGAAAAGTGGTAGCTGGGAGTTTTTTGACATTGGAAATTTGATTTTGATGTCAAAACGACTCCTAGTTGTAGAGGTCGCCACCTATATATTTTTTAACCGGTTTGAAGACTAATAACTTTTTGTCCGTACCTGTATAAAACTACTGAGTAATAAAATATACATTTACGATATTTTTTAAGTAAATAAGGTCTCTTGGTAAAAATCGCTAGGAGTAATGATTTTGAATCTAAATGATCAATACCTGCCATCATTGTCAAAAATTAAACATGTTCACTAAATAGTTATTAGACTGAAATCATAAATTTGAAATGTTTTTGTGCCAAAAGTTCAACAGAAACTGTTTTATCATATTTTTATGATTAGTTAAAAAAAAAGTTCCCAAATTTATAATTTCAGTCAAATAACTTTCTACTCAACCTTTTATTTTTTGTCATTAATGACATGTATTGACTATTTTAATTCTGAATATCTTGAGAACGGTTGCTCGTAGCGATTTTTACTAAGAGACTTTTTTACGTAAAAAATGATAAAAATATATAATTTTGTACTCAGTAGTTTTATACAGGTACGGGCGAAAAGTTATTACTCTTCAAAGCAGCTAAAAATGTGTAGGAGACGCCAGGGGGGTGACAGTAAACCAGAAAATTGGAAACAGTTCTGGCGCTTCTAGAAAAAAATCTGAATATTTCTATATAATTTCTCTTACCGAACATTTTTATGCATGTTGGCGTCCTCTTCTTTTGTCTGTGTGTCAGCCATGTGTCAACTCCCGAGGCCTCTGGCAAGGTCGGGCGCCATTTTAATTTTTGCCGTTTAGATTTGATTGGAAGTTTGTTTAAGATATTTCGGCTGAAATTTATAAGTACAAAGACGTTTTTTGATATAAAGTGCCTTGTTAACAGTTTAATAAAGTATATGTGATATTAATTACATGAAGAAAATGATAAAATCGACGTTTCTGCGTGTAATAGGTATGGGCCATATTATATATGTAAAAATAGGTAATATATTAACTGTTTTCATATTTTTTTAGCTTTAGACCCAAGGATCTTGGGATATTCTTTGCCAAGGATTTTTCCGTATCTCTACTTTAAAGACTGATCGGTGATTTTGAGCAATTGAAAGCAAGTTAAACAAGGTAAATTATGATTACTGAACTATTATTAGCCTAAATTAATTATCTACAAGATGAACAGAAATGCGTAATAACATATCACATAGGTACCTATTATGTATTTTCATAGCAATAATGCAATAAGTCTATGTATGTAGATTATTTTTAAAATACAAATGAGGTATTAGATATAATGTATCATATTTTTTATTCATTTTATTTTCATTCAAGTCCTGTTTGATTTAAATCACAAAAATCTTTTGTACCTATATTTATGCTTTTATACATAATTTTTTTTTGATTCCAGGTTTTGTGTGGGCTCCTGTTGTCTTTTTCCTGCTTCCAGTTATTTAGTTTTATGCCCGTAAAGCTGTGAAAACATTTATTTATCTTCAAGTCTCTGTAAGTCAATGCACTCTGTTACTTTACTAATTCACTTTAACACAGCATCTCTGATATTATATAAATATTGATACAGTAGTTTATGTCTTTATATCTCTTTAATTGTGTTGATTTGCATATTTACATTGTTCTAAATTCCAAATAAATATTTTTGAGTAATTTTGTTGTATTATTTACTACTAGAAAGAGTAAAAAGTATATTAACCCTCCTTTAAACCTCCTGAACAGCCCGCCATTAAAAACCGGAAACGGAAATAAATTTACTAAAATTGAAATTGTCATGTCAAATGTCCCAGCCGCCATATCTGAAAATTAGTTACCCAGGCAGCCACACTGTTTTCATAATTTAACATTGACTTGACACTTCTTCTTGTATTTATTATTTTATGGGTGACGCCCTCTAAAAGTAGGAGTCGTTGACATCAAAATCAAATTTCTCATGTCAAAAAACTCCCAGATATCAATTTTCATCCAATTATTGACGTTACTTCAGAAATTATTTGGAAAAAATCAAAATAAAAATAAAACTTCTACACCCTGTATCTCCGAAACTAAGCATTTTAGGACATACATTTATACGAACTTTTTAACTCATTTTTATCTGCAGAACATGCTGCCAAAGTTTCCGGAATACAGTTCGGACTACCCTGTATAGAAGATAAGAAAGTGGTCATCATATACAAGAGAGTTACGATAAATTAATATAAACGTAATTTCATGAAAACAATCTATCTAGGTATTTCACATTTGTTGTAAAAACTACTAAAAACCGTCAAATTGAAACAAGATTTATTGAACTATTTTTTATTTAGAGACTATCATGTTGGCGTCCTCTTCTTTTGTCTGTGTGTCAGCCATGTGTCAACTCCCGAGGCCTCTGGCAAGGTCGGGCGCCATTTTAATTTTTGCCGTTTAGATTTGATTGGAAGTTTGTTTAAGATATTTCGGCTGAAATTTATAAGTACAAAGACGTTTTTTGATATAAAGTGCCTTGTTAACACTTTAATAAAGTATATATGATATTAATCACATGAAGAAAATGATGAAATCGACGTTTCTGCGTGTAATAGGTATGGGCCATATTATATATGTAAAAATAGGTAATATATTAACTGTTTTCATATTTTTTTAGCTTTAGACTCAAGGATCTTGGGATATTCTTTGCCAAGGATTTTTCCGTATCTCTACTTTAAAGACTGATCGGTGATTTTGAGCTATTGAAAGCAAGTTATACAAGGTAAATTATGATTATTGAACTATTATTAGCCTAAATTAATTATCTACAAGATGAACAGAAATGCGTAATAAAATATCACATAGGTATGTATTATGTATTTTCATAGCAATAATGCAATAAATCTATGTATGTAGATTATTTTTAAAATGCAAATGAGGTATTAGATGTATATGTATCATATTTTTTATTCATTTTATTTTCATTCAAGTCCTGTTTGATTTAAATCACAAAAGTCTTATGTACCTATATTTATGCTTTTTTGCATAATTTTTTTTTGATTCCAGGTTTTGTGTGGGTTCCTGTTGTCTTTTTCCTGCTTCCAGTTATTTAGTTTTACGCCCGTAAAGCTGTGAAAACATTTATTTATCTTCAAGTCTCTGTAAGTCAATGCACTCTGTTACTTTACTAATTCACTTTAACACAGCATCTCTGATATTATATAAATATTGATACAGTAGTTTATGTGTTTATATCTCTTTAATTGTGTTGATTTGCATATTTACAATGTTCTAAATTCCAAATAAATATTTTTGAGTAATTTTGTTGTATAATTTACTACTAGAAAGAGTAAAAAGTATATTAACCATCATTTAAACCTCCTGAACAGCCCGCCATTAAAAATCGGAAACGGAAATACATTTACTAAAATTGAAATTGTCATGTCAAATGTCCCAGCCGCCATATCTGAAAATTAGTTACCCAGGCAGCCACACTGTTTTCATAATTTAACATTGACTTGACACTTCTTGTATTTATTATTTTATGGGTGACGCCCTTTAAAAGTAGGAGTCATATTGACATCAAAATCAAATTTCTCATGTCAAAAAACTCCCAGATATCAATTTTCATCCAATTATTGACGTTACTTCAGAAATTATTTTGAAAAAATCGAAATAAAAATGAAACTTCTACACCCCGCATCTCCGAAACTAAGCATTTTAGGACATACATTTATACGAACTTTTTTACTTATTTTTATCTGCAGAACATGCTGCCGGAATACAGTTCGGACTACCCTGTATAGAAGATAAGAAAGTGGTCATCATATACAAGAGAGTTACGATAAATTAATATAAACGTAATTTCATGAAAACAATCTATCTAGGTATTTCACATTTGTTGTAAAAACTACTAAAAACCGTCAAATTGAAACAAGATTTATTGAACTATTTTTTATTTAGAGGCTTCATCAGTCAAGATTTTTTTCCTGAAATAAAGATACCGCCACAAAGATACAGACTATGTTACAAAAAAGAATCCCCCTGTTTTCCTATTGATTCTAAATCAAAAATAAAAAGGAAGGTATATAATCAATTATGCAGGATATCTATCTGCATATTATCAGCTAAAGTAAAACATTTCAGCTCAATAACCTACGATTTTGAGTACTGCGCCTCGATCTCATAAACGATATTCCTGCAGCCCAGCTGGCAGTTGCATCTGTCGATGCTTTTGACGGCCTCGAAATTCTTGGCCACGCATTCGAGCCGCTCCAGAGTGCAATAAGGAAAGTCCGCGACGCTGGGATAGAAGTGGGGCACGCAGCCGCAAAATTTCCTTGCGTTCTCCATGCGGCACTGGATCGTGCACGCCGAGTACGTGTAGAAACTGTCCACTGAAAAACAGAAAATAAAGTAAGTAGCATAAAGTCACAGCATAAGTGTAAAAAAAATGTTAACACAGAAATATAAGCCACATAAAAAATACATTAATAAAAAACGACTATCCAAACCATTTTTTATTCACAAAACATTAAACGAAATACAAATTACAAATTATAGACATAACGAGGATAATACACAATACATACAACTTACAATTCCATACATACGAGGCATTTCGGAAAAAATAAGAAGGATAGGAAAACAATATAACATACTGTTACGTTTTTCGTCGGTTCCGTGTGGATAGAAAGTCACAATTTATTTAAACACTATTTATTTAACACTAATTAATAAAAACAATAACGATAAACGACTTAAAGAACTATTTACAAACGATTTATAACTAAGAATTTATTTTTGAATTTTAGCGCGTCAACTGTACTAGTCTATTTATAACTGCCCTCTTTAGGCCACAGCCGCCGGCTTTTATACGTACAGCTAAAGGTCTCTAGAATAGTCCATAGATGGTTAGGTGCATAGAGAAGGTTTCGATTGTTCTCGTATGTACCACTCCATTCCAGTAGAACTCGATGCTTCTCGAGTCTTCGAATGAATCATTACGGTGTCTATTCTTTAATGCGATGTTAAGGTCATCCGAGGGCGGGCATATAGTTAGGTTAGGTCGAGTCCACACCGGTCCGCAACAATACAAACATCTTTCAAAACACAAAACACACTTAGATCCATTTTATCACACACTAAACCAATGAATACTGAACAACAAAAAAAAAATGTAATATACAAAATACCATGTGAATGCGATAAATTTTACATTGGCGAAAAACATCCAGATCCCTAAATGTTCGAATTAAAGAACATAAAGATTATTTAAGAAAGGGAGATTTTCACAAATCTAAGATTTGTCAACATTCATGGGACACAGGGCACAGAATACAAAAAAAAATATTTAAACCAATTAATAATATTGATGATACTAGGGCTATCCAATCTGATTTGAAATTGGCTCTGGACTAGTTTAAGGAGAACAAGATGCTTGTTAATACTAAAAAGTGTTGTGTTGTTTCTTTTTCCCGGATGATCAATACAGTCATTGAAGACTACTACATTGGAAATTGTAAGGTTGTGAGGTGTAAGGAAGTTAAAGACCTAGAAGTGATTTTTCTGGGTTTTGTTATGTGTAATAGTAAAGATTTCGATATACAATCAACTACAAGACTTTATACCTCTCTTGTAAGACCGCATCTTGAATGTGCGTCAAATATCTGGTCTCCCAATTGTTACACCCACAGTAACGAGATTGAGAAGGTTCAAAAACGGTTCCTTCGTTATTTTACATTAAAAGAAACAACATGTATCCAACATTGATCTCTTACAGGTCAATGTTGGAAATTTCAGTTAACTTCGCTGGCCTCTAGGAGAAGGACACAGGCTGTCATCTTTGCATATAACATTCTTAATAATTTAAATATGCTGACTGTGGTCTGATTAATAGCATCAAGTTTAGGGTACCAAAGATTAGGTTGAGAGTGAGTGAGTTTAATCTTTTTTACATTGATGGTGGAAGCCCCTCGCCATTCACGTTTATGCTCACCATTTGTAATAATATGTTGTCTGGGAACAAAATTCCCGATATGTTTAGCATTAAGTTTGGCGAACTTAAGCGCATCTTGTTGGTGCATCAGGGGACAAATCTGATGGATAGGTTTCATTGTTTTTTTATTGCACATTTTATAAATTAAATATTATGTACTTTATTCTTATTTACTTTATTTATTGTTATATATACTTTATTTATATTATTTTTATGTCTAGTTTTAAGTAATTGTAATTGTATTTGTTTTCTTTAGGCCTTTACATGTAGCTACCTCAATAGGTGTTTGTAATGAGTAAAATAAAATAAAATTTAATAACGCCAAAATTATAATGAAAGAAGCGATAGCCTCTAAAAGAAAAATAAAAGAGGCTTTTTTAATACAATCTAATAAAAATAAATATATTGCTCATGCATCTGTAGATGTTAGTAATGTATGGTAATCGCTTCTTTGATTTTAAAGAACATAACATAAATAAACATAACATATGTAAAAATTAAAAATAATCATATAGAAAGTTTGGGGCTTTTTGGTTTTACCCTATTAAGTAATTGTTATCAGGTAGTAATTGTTAATTTTGAAGTTTAACTTGATATAATGTCATTTTAACAGAACGTCACCGGTTTTTGTGGACGTATCTGTTTAAAAAAAAACTAGTGTTCTCGAATAGTTGAATTTAAATATTTTAAATAGTTTTTTTCTTTGTTCTTTGTATTTTTTTGCTTCCGACGACGGAAAGAGATAAACTTTCCGAAACGTTAAGTATTTTTTTGTTCGTTAGGCAAATTTGTATATCTGTAAACCTAATGTTGATAAGCAGTTTCCGTTTAGATTAACGCAGCGGTGTTTACAAAAAAATAGCTATTTTATTTTGTATATTTTATTGCAGTGGCAAAATACCCATATAGGATTGTTTGGAGAGATAAATCCGTCACATAGGTGTAGACATTTTTTATATTTTTAGCTATTTTTATTTTCATACCATGTAAGGGTATTTCATCTCCAAACACGCACTTTCTTTGCTTAATAGACAGCTGTCTGGTGTCTTCAGTGGTGTAGGTTTGCTTCATGGAAAACGCCATTTTGTATACTTGATAGTCCCATTCGAGTTGAGGTTGAATATTCATAGAGACCATCTCATCCGAATTTAATATATAAATCTAGAAATAAGTTTTAAGTATTAGAAAAACTATATTAAAGACACTTATATTTAGAATGAGAAAATGTTTATCATATACAAGAGAGTTATGATAAATTACAATATATTTTCACTAGCGTGTACCAGCGACCTACCGTTCGCGTCGAATTAATCATTTATAATGGAGATGATAAAGCAAAGCAAGAATTTCCATTAACATACAAACTGGATAAAATTTTCTCATATTTATGTCAGCATGAGAAAAAACAATATAGCGATATTATTATATAACTTGGTAATATTTGAGGGGTAGTTTCATTTCGTTGGAAAAAAATCCGTTTGCCAAAAATAAGCTTTTTACGTCAAGCAGTTTAAGCAGAATCGTGGTTAAGAAATTACCCAACTTTTTGGAACACCCTGTATGGTTTTTTAAAAAATTTCAAAATATGTTTGCGTTCTCCCGAAAGACTAACGGTTTTTTAAATAACAAATATTGTAATATTTGAGGAGCGTTTTCACCCTCTTGGAATTTGAGATTCGAGAAACCCCTCCTTATCGAACCTCTACACCCCACAGTCAATCCGTTTACCAAAAATCAGCTTTAAACGTCAAGCGCTTTAAGCAGAATCGTGATTACTCAGTGGTCTTGTTTTATGAAACACCCTGTATAAAATTATAAAAAAAATCTTAAAATATGCAAAACAACAAATTAAAACATAGGTGTTTAAGAGTTTTTCCGAAAAACTCACCGGTTTTAAAATAAAAAATATTTTAATATTTGAGGGATAGTTTCCCCCCTTAAAATTCGACTTTCTAGAAATCTATTCTTATCGATCCTCTACACCCTAAAGTCAGTCTGTTTTCCAAAAATCAGCTTTTTACGTTTTTAAGCAGGATCGTGATTAATCAATGACCAGATTTTTCGAAACACCTTGTATACACTTTTAAAAAATCTTAAAATATGTAAAAAAATAAAATAAAATATACGTGTTTAAGCGTTTTTTCGGAAACTTGGCGGTTTTTTAAATAAAAAATATTGTAATATTTGAGGGATGGTTTCACCCTCTTGAATTCGAAAATAATTTGACCTCTTGAATTCGCTCCTAGAATTTCGAAAAATCCCTTCTTATCGAACCTCTACACCCTAGAATCAACCTGTATGCCAAAATTGAGCTTTTTACGTTGAGTGGTTCGGGCAGAATCGTGATTAATCTGTATGTCAGTCACTTAAGGATTTTATATATTAGTATAGATGAGAAAAATTCTAGATATAGTAACTAAATTAAATTTTGAGAAAAAAAAACTTAATAAAAAGTATTTCCTGAAAAGTGCGCCACCCTCTATAATACCATTATTCTTTTATTTTGTCCTCTTTTTTATATTCTTATCTGAAAACGGTATATTTGCGCTTTACCTTGCGAACCAGGTCTTAAAGCCTGGCGTCTCATTATGCCACAAGGCAATTCGCGGGCTTACTTGAAAGTAAGCCGTATTACCGTCGAATATAAATCAAACGGAAGTGAGGATGGGAGAGTGCAAGAAGTTGAAACAGGGTCGGCTCGTTATTAGGACTCTGATAAGGACACTCTTTAAGGAAACTTCAAAAGGGAAGATGTATATGTCCAGATATATCAGTTTATTTCTTAATCATCTGCTGATGATGCTAACATGGTTAACGAAACGCGCGTCCAGTGTAACAGAAAAAGTGTTTTGGTGTATTGTGGTGATTTAGTGTTTTATTTTGCTGTGTAACACCAAAGGTTCCAACCCCCAACAGTAATCAGATATATGTTGTGTATATAAACGAACTCTCGCAAGTATACACTATCAGACAAAAGTAGAGAAACTTTTTAAAACTCGTCGGATTTCAAAAACCTCCAATATTTAAAATAATGTTTTAAACATATTTCCTTTTAGCAATATCATCATTTTTCGCCACATTCCAAAATTATCTTATCAGGTGTTTATTTATAATATGGACTCAAATATTTTTGAAGGGACATAAATAAATAAACCAACATAAAAATTGACCATACTTAGTAGTTATTTGCTCAAGGCGAAAACTGTTGATATTCTGATTTACATTTTTAATAAATATGCCACGCGGAAAATATTTGTCTGAGGATCTTCGCGAAAAAATAATCAACGCACATCGGAATGGTGTACTGCAAATGGACATAAGCACAATATTTAATTTGCATTAGTCTGTCATTAGCAAAACGATTTTCAATTTCAAAACTCGTAACGCCTTAAACACTATTAAAAAAAGTTGTCGGCAAAGGAAAACAACAAAAAAAATTGAAATGATAATTAAAAAAATCGCCTTAACTAATCCGCATAAATTGGCAAATCAAATTTTGAGTGAACTACCTGGTGTCAATATAAGCTCTAAGACCATTCAAAGAAGGCTAAGGGAAGCAGGATTATTTAGCAGAAGAGCAGCCACAAAAAAAAACACTCATCAGTAAGAAGAATCAGAAGGCCCGACTTACGTTTGGAAAAAAAATTGCATTGGTCGACGAAAAATACCCTGTTTTCAGATGAAAGTAAATTCAACATATTTGGATCCGATGGCATATCGTGGATAGATCGCCTAGAAGGTAAAATATTTGATCCAAAGTATACCAAGGCCACTGTAAAGCACGGTGGTGGATCATGCATGGTGTGGGGATGATTCTCGGGCTACGGAATGGGACCACTACATGTAATAGAAGGAACAATGAATCGATTTATGTATTTGGACATTTTAAGAAAGTGATGATTCTGTTTGCAGATGATAATCTGCCTTTAACCTGGATATTTCAGCAAGGTAATGATCTAAAGCATAAATCAAAAGTCTTACAAGAATGGTTTTTATTTGAACAAATTAGGTTAGGGACTTTCCTGTCCCAAGACCTTAACTCCATTGAAAACTTGTGGGAGGAACTAGATCGCCAAGTAAGATGAAGTCATATTAGCAATAAGAAAGATTTGATAAGAATTTTGAAAGAGGCTGGAATTCCATTGAGCCAGATACCATAAGAAAACTATTGGACTCCATGCCAAAGCGATGTCGTGAAGTTATTTAGTTAATTTGTTTAGCAAAATATGTATATTTTTTATATTTTCAAAGTAACATAACTTGAAAAACGGTGAAAAAAAGGAAACACTGTTTCTTTTATCGAGGTCTACCAACCCTGAAAATATTTGTACTTATTTAAGACACACCGTACATATAATAACAGTTCAAAAATATATAACAACACTTCAGTAAAAATAAAACACTGACAACCATAAAAAGAGCGCTGCTTTTGAAGGGCATATCAAGATGTTTTCTCAAACATTTTTAGTGTAGCGCTGCTGTATACCTTTCAAGACAATCCAAACTCGAGAACAACGTAAGTTAGAGAACGGTTGGGTTGCAAATCCGGTTCCCTGGCTAAAAAGGCCTAAAAGCCCTACTTTAAACAGATTTATGTCGGCGTACAGTCTCGTAGAAGGGCCTGCCGTATTTCACTACCGAACCGTAGCCAGTCCTGAATATTATAATCGTATTTTTTACTCGGTCTTAAGAACGTTATCGGCTGAAATATGTCGGTCATATTTTTTTCTCGAGAGGAGCTATTAAAAAGAGTGGTTTAGGTTTGGATAGATATAGTATGTGCAGGTTGTTGAGATAACTCACTTTATGTTACTACAAAATCTAGGGGTTTCTTGTGTGTGAAAATATTTTCAGTATTTTGGCACTTAAAAAGAAATTGAAAAAAAAATTGTAAAATGCGTGGAGTCATTGGAGTGGAAAAGTTATAAAACGGAGACGTTCATTTTCATAACTTATTATTATATTGATTTCTGAGCTAAATCCACATTTATTTAGAATAAATTATTAATTAAAACAATTTAAAAGTATGTAATTAACTAATTTTTGGTCGGAAATAATGGTGGTATATTTAATTGGTATACTTCCTTACAAAAATTTAAATAGTTTTTTTTATTTACCAATGGGCTTGCAATATTTACCGCCTGTACATGTTATACATATACATATGTTGTGATGTTAAAAAAATCTGAAATATCAATATTCCATAGGTATAGTGATAAATGAGGTATAAATTATAAGAAAATACATTTTCTACAAAACTTGAAGAGGTAGGTAAAAAATAGTATAATAAAATTTGATAGACAATTAAATTGTGCATCTGATTCACGTAAAATATACAGGGTGTTCCCTTTAAATTAAACAAGTTATTGCCGTTTAAAGCTAGTAATTATCTAATATAAAAACTTTTGGACACTCTGTATAAGGTAGTACAATTTTTATTATTGCAACACAATATCTGATCAATAAATAATCTTCAGTAAATATTTAGTATTAAAAACTTTGATAACCTTGGAGAAATGAAGCCTTAAAATTTTTACTGCAATTTAATAAAATTGAAATATTTCAAAAACGGTAAAGTTTAAGTGTGATAAACCTTAATCAAATTTACCCTTATTTCAATCATAGAATCCAAAAATAGAATAATATACATGGTGTTCAATTTAAAAAAATACAACTATATTTTTTACTTATTTGGGACATTCTGTATCTTGTAAAATATTTTTAAATTATAGCTCTAATAGTCCTTCAACCAAGCCAAAACTTACAATTTGTAAAAATTTAATCGTTAGCTACAATACTCCGTGTCGTATATGGTGAACAACCCTGTATATATGTAAATAAAGCTAAAAAAGTTTGAGAAAATATATTTTTGTAATATTAGGGCAGTAGATGTATGTTTCGTTTAAAAAACTGAATAAAGTAGACAATTTTTTTTATTAAGGAACTAACAAATACAGACAGCAAATAGATAAGTTTGACAGATTGTAATGTTTAAAAATAAAAAAAAAATCTTAGATCGGTACATACAACAAAAGTTTACTATTCATTGTCTAAAATATTGCAGTAAAAAAAGTATTATTTTTAAATAAAAAGGCCAACGTATGTACACCATAATTTTGGAGATTCGATGACGAACCATACATTACACAACGTGAAAATATGAGGAATGTACCAAAGTTATGCTGCAGTAACAAAGATTTCCATTTAACGGTACTTTTATTTTTAACAAGAAAATGGTTCTCGTATACAAAAGAGTTATGAAAAACTCCAATAATATTTTTTGAAGAAATTCATTATTTTCAGGTATTTCACTAATGAATCAAAAATCTAAGGAATTAAGAGACGTTTTTAGGGTTCCGTAACTCGGAAAGGAAAATACATATTTTTTTAGAACTACTTCAATCGTAGCAAGATTTCTTCCTAAACGTCGAATAACTTACCGACGTTACTGCTTCCCCCGTCTTCAAGGCGAACTGCAGAGACCATTTCGTGTCGGCTTCCTTAATATATTGCATATTAAATTGCTCGGGCTCGGCTCTGAAACAGAACACACGACAATGAACGGAATTCCTACTCGCGAGCCTTTATTATGACGCACGGATGGGTGGCACGTCCTTACACCTCGTTTTCCCCATTTTCCACACACGGAAAACCAGGAGAAAGTGGTGGGTAGAGATAGGTGGTTTCGTGCGGTTTTACGTTTCGATAAATATGATTTTCAAGTTTGTATGTGCGATAAATTTTGAATGTTCACAAGCGGCAGCCAAAAACTGTATTTTTAATTTTACAAGTACGAGTAAAATTTAATATATCTATCTTGCGATGCGGGATTTAATATCTTACCGCTACTTTACGACAAGTCGTATTTATATATTCTGCGCTGTGCTCGTCGTTTTGTGGAAATACCCAAGCTCACCTGATGATGGGGTAGGGCCCCGAAACCGGTAGTGAGAGCAGGTTGATCCACATTATGACGAACACAGCGTGGAATTAATTTCTATATTAGCAGTTAAAGGCAAGAAACTCTTATATAATTTTATTATATACCTAAAAACTGCAAGAAATTTAATTTCCATTATATATTTTGGGCTATCCGAAAAAAGTCTTTATTTACTATCGATAGTTGTGCATCGGTGGTACGAAAGTACTACCATTGCACGCAGGCCGCTATCTCGCGATGAGGGACTTAATATCTTACCGCTACTTTACGACAAGTAGTATTTATATACTCTGCGCTGTGCTCGTCGTTTTGTGGAAATAACCAAGCTTACTTGATGATGGGGTAGGGCCCCGAAACCGGTAGTGAGAGCAGGTTGGTCCACATTATGACGAACACAGCGTGGAATTAATTTCTATATTAGCAGTTCAAGGCAAGAAACTCTTATATAATTTTATTATATACCTAAAAACTGCAAGAAATTTATTTTCCATTATATATTTTGGGCTATCCGAAAAAAGCCTTTATTTACTATCGATAGTTGTGCATCGGTGGTACGAAAGTACTACCATTGCACGCAGGCCGCTATCTCGCGATGAGGGACTTAATATCTTACCGCTACTTTACGACAAGTAGTATTTATATACTCTGCGCTGTGCTCGTCGTTTTGTGGAAATAACCAAGCTTACTTGATGATGGGGTAGGGCCCCGAAACCGGTAGTGAGAGCAGGTTGGTCCACATTATGACGAACACAGCGTGGAATTAATTTCTATATTAGCAGTTCAAGGCAAGAAACTCTTATATAATTTTATTATATACCTAAAAACTGCAAGAAATTTATTTTCCATTATATATTTTGGGCTAGCCGAAAAAAGCCTTTATTTACTATCGATAGTTGTGCCTCGGTGGTACGAAAGTACTACCATTGCACGCAGGCCGCTATCTCGCGATGAGGGACTTAATATCTTGCCGCTACTTTACGACAAGTCGTATTTATATACTCTGCGCTGTGCTCGTCGTTTTGTGGAAATACCCAAGCTCACCTGATGATGGGGTAGGGCCCCGAAACCGGTAGTGAGAGCAGGTTGATCCACATTATGACGAACACAGCGTGGAATTAATTTCTATATTAGCAGTTGAAAGCAAGAAACTGTTATATAATTGTAAAATTTAACTTGAGTGAAATTCGTGAGTTTTTCCAAGTAGTCTAAACATAGCGGTTTCTTTTGAAATAGGAGAGTTGAATAGGAGAGTTGATAAACGCCTCATTGAATTATAATTTAACTTTTCCAACTGTTTTTCGCAATCCCTTTTCTTCTTCATATTCGCCTGCTATTTGTCATAATAAATATCTACACGCGTATCTTCTTACGGACTAGAACGGCATACCAGTGCGGCGCCATGTCTCGTGCCGGTAATAAAATACGCACATTTTTATTAAAAATGACAAATCGGCAACATGGGATGATGGCGTCGTGCTTCGGAGGATGGAGAGTGACATTAGTACGGGTTTGCACGAAACCAGGAAACAAGCTGTTACACTTATGTTTTAAGGTTTATGTACCAACATAAATGTATATTTCGCTGAATAAAAGTCTGTTTAAAAAACGATTTTAAATAACATATATCTTGTTTTTTGAAAATATGGCACATTCTTCAGAGGTTTTCATATTTTTAGTGTTGTGGAGTTCTTTTAAGGATAAGATTTTGCCTATTGCGGACAGCTTTTTTAGATATAACAGTTTTATTAGTCATAATGTCTATCCACTAACTTTATCACACTACAAATATATCCGATAGTCAAGCAGCACTAAACGCGATCAACTCAGTAACCATCAATTCGAAGTTGGTCAAAGAATGCCTAGAGAAGTTCTACAAATTAGGTAAAGAAAATAAAGTCCTCCTACTCTGAGTGCCTGCTCACCAAGGGATAAAAGGCAATGAAAAAGAAAATTATCTAGCTAGGAAAGGAGCGAACACTCCACTAACTGAACCAGAACAACTCCACTAGCTGGCCTCTGTGAACAAACTTTCAAAATAAATTTAAAATATTTACAAATTTAAAATATCGTCGGAAATACAAATGAACTCTTTTACAGTTTACAAAGGCACAAAAAGTGACATTAATTACATTTTTTTAATAAAATATGTTTTGATTTTCAATGTAAAAACATATTATATTTTAAAGTTTTCCTGGTTACTTATTGTTCATTCATCACAGCTGTTTTTCAAATTAGTATTTTAAAACATTTTTAAAAAATAATTTATCGTTATATGATTTAATTTTTGTTTAAACTTTATAATAAAAGTATATTGAAATAATATGACAAATATTTTCAAAATAATAAATACAGGTATCAGTTATAATATCTTGATTAAAAATTTTAATGGTCTATATTTTTGGTAACTGTTGTCAACGCAGCGAAAAAATGCTCCACGTTAGCATTCACGTCTAATATCGTTCTGCGCATGCTGAGTAGCTGTTTCTTCCCACTCATTCTGCGTATTAATCCCCTTTAAGTTTTCGTGGAAAATGTCCTTGTACCTTTTGAGTTGTCCACCCGGCCTCCTTTTACCGTGTACAAGCTCACCGTAAAGCAGAGATTTTGGTATGCGGTTTTCTTGATTCTGCATACATTACCAGACCATCTTAAGTGGGATTTTGTAACCATGACTTTAATACTCTCGCAGTTAGGGTTTTCAAGGACCGATACGTTTGAGACATGATGGAACCATCGGATTCTTAAGAGATGTCTAAGATGTCTCTGTTGCAACTTGTTTAATGCGTTCATGTGTCGGCGGTAAGGCACCCAGGTTTTGCTCCCATGTAACATGGTGGGGATTATAATTTATTATAATCCATGAAGTTTATAAGATCTAAGAGACGTTCTCTTATATGTAGGCTAGTCCCTAAACTAAAAAACACCCCCTCCCCTTTACTGTGATTCGATATAGCTTTACAAATGCTATAAATCCACATAAATAATAAAAAAATATAATATAAATAGCTGAAATAAAATTTCCTTCCAAAGATACAAAACAAAAATACTCTAATTCGGAAAATCTGAATATTACGAAAAAAGCGTAGAATTGAAAACAGAAAAACTTCACAAAACAACTTTTGTTTTCGATATCAGCACAATAAAAGCAAGGGAATGAACGAAGTAAAAGTTTCTCGTATTCTGTTTGCCGTGAATAAGTTAATTTAGTTGAAAACATTACGGTCCAACTGTCAAACTGCGCGTTGACGGAAAGGAAATTAATAATTCGCCATTATGGAAATGATTTATCTGGCGTAATGCGCTGTATGGAGCACTGTGAAAAACAGTGGCAAACAAAGTTATATTAACTTTTTCTCGATGCTGTTTATGTGTCACAGAAAAAAAGGGGGGATGATGTTGTTTACTGCTGGATATAAATTAGTTTCAATGAAGCTATTTTGAAAAAATATTTTTTCTTTATTTTTGACAAATGAAAGGTGTTATTTATCGAACTTCTTTTATACAAAAATATTTTGCTTTATTATTAAATTCTTACGTTTTGGCCATTTAAAAAAATATCAAAGTTGTATTTTTTTAAATGGAACACCCTGTATATTATTACATTTTTAGTTTCTACGATTAAAATAAAGGTAAATTTAATTAAGGTTTATTACACTTAAACCTTACCGTTTTTTAAATATTTTCAATTTTGTAAAATTGCAGTAAAAATGTTAAAGCTTCATTTCTACGAGGGTATCAAAGTTTTTAATGCTAAATATTTAATGAAGTTTATTTATTGATCAGTTATTGTGTTGCAATAATAAAAATAATACTCCCTCATACAGAGTGTCTACAAATTTATTTTAAATAATTTCTAGCTTTAAACGGCAAAAACTTGTTTAATTTAAATGGAATGCTCTGTATATTTTAGGAGAATAAGATGCACAATTTAATTGTCTATCGAATTGTATTATACCACTTTTTACCTATGCCTTCAAGTTTTCGTAGAAAATGCATTTTCTACGAATTTCTTATAATTTAGACTTCATTTGTCAATATACCTATGGAATATTGATATTTTAGATTGTTTTTAAAGCAAGAAATGTACACACTATTAATATTCTCGTTTTTAGGAAAACGATGATATTACTAGCCCATTTATATGCAAAAAGAAAACTATTTAAATCTTTATAAAAGAGTATATCTACCATTAATTAAATATACCACCATTATTTCCGCCCAAATACTAATTAATTACATACTTAATTGTGTTAGTTAATAAATTATTCTTAATAAATATGGATTTGAATCAGAAATTAATATAATAATAAGTTATTAAAATGAACGTCTCAGTTGTAATAAAGAAACATTTGTCAAAAAAAGAAATATCATTTTTAAGGTGTTACTTTTTACCACACTGTCTGATACACATATCAAATACACTTTTTGGTGTTTGGAGCAATTATTATTAATCAACGCAAACAGTCAATTAATGCAGTTTGAATACTGGAATCACATTAATTGGTCCTCTTTAACAAATATTTAAACAGTTTTTTTTAATGAAATAATCGAACTATATCGACAATATTAGTGTCTGTACTTAGTCTCTCTTACTAATAAAAATTTGGTACATCTTTAAAAATAATCTAAAATGTCAGTATTCCATGGGTATATTGATAAATGAGTTCTAAATTACAAGAAAATGCATTTTCTACGGAAACTTGAAGAGATAGGTAAAAATGGTATAATACAATTTGATAGACCATTAAATTGTGTATCTGATTATCATAAAATATACAGGGTGTTCCATTTAAATTAAACAAGTTATTGCCGTTTAAAGCTAGTATTTATTTAAAATAAAATTTTAGATACCCTGTATAAGGTAGTATAATTTTTATTATTGCAACACAATAACTGATCAGTAAATAAACTGCAGTAAATATTTAGCATTGAAAACTTTGATACCCTCGGAGAAATGAAGCCTTAAAATTTTTACTGCAATTTTACAAAATTGAAAATATTTTAAAAACGGTAAGGTTTAAGTGTAATAAATCTTAATCAAATTTACCTTTATTTTAATCATAGAAACTAAAAATGTAATAATATACAGGGTGTTCCATTTAAAAAAATACAACTTTGATATTTTTTATTTATTTGGGACACTCTGTATCTTATAAAAATATTTTTAAATTGTAGCTCTAATAGTCCTTCAACGAACCCAAAACTTACAATTTGTAAAAATCTAGTCGTTTGGCTACAATACTCTGTGTCGTATGTGGTGAACAACCCTGTATAATACGGTTTAGAGAAAGCTACAATTAATACCAGCAAAAAATGTGATTGTGTCATTGTCAAATTCGATGTCACATTTTGTTGACAAAAATTCGAAGCTACCAAACACAGTAATTTTGTATAAAATAATCATGAATTTCGCAACTTCAGAAAAAGTTACGATGGTTAAACGGCATTTTGCTGGAAATAGTATTGCCGCTGTGTTAGATATGTTCGAAGCTCAGTCTCTGGAAAGCCTGTACCGAATAAGTCAAAAGTTTAAAGAATAAACCGGATATTTGAAACTAAAAGCACTAAAGTATTAAGCACATGGAAGTGTGAAGACAAAAATAATTGAACAGAAAGAAAATAAGATTACAGTTGAGGGTTGGAACCTTTGGTGTTACACAGCAAAATTAAACACTAAATCACCACAATACACCAAAACACTTTTACTTTTACACTGGACGCGCGTTTCGCTAACCATGTTAGCATCATCAGCAGATGATTATAAACTGAGAAAGACAATAACAATGACTTGAATATTCTTCATGTTGAAGAAAAGAAAAACACTGACTTCTGTTTATTGGGATACAGTAGGAAAAGAGCACATTATCTTTCGCCGAACGACTTCTTCCTGTGAATCACACTCAAAAACTGTTTTTATGGGTATTAAATTAAATACAGAAATTGAGACTGAAAACTGAAAACGACACGCTAAAGATTCTCTCCTGAACAGTTTTGTATGTGGCTGTGAAAGGGTAATACAAATTTTGCATAAAATCATTTGGGGAGATAACATTTGATCTTTTCAAAATTTACATGGGTCAGAATAGATGTTACGCTTTTGCCATGGAACAACAGCATGATAGAGTTTCCAGACGGTCACCCGTCCATCCACTAGTATCGTCTAACGTCGCTTAACTTCAGGGTTCTATCGGGAATCGTTGCCTTAGTAGTTCTATGTCCAGTAAATATTGGGACACCCTGTATCTTATTTCAATTTTATTAAACAAACAATACAATCTCTTCCACCCTAAACCTCTTAAATCTCAACAATAGCACGCTTCCGTACTTGTTCCAAACCCCGAAACATGAAATACCGCGAAACCTCAGTTTTCTAAGGGTGTCAAAATGGAAAATAATAGATCTTAAAACTGGATACTCACGACGCCGTGTTGTTGGATCGTCGAAAATGTCTGGAATTAAAGCTGTGACAGAACCCCGTTTCGGTGAAGACCGGCGTGAATCGCTTGTCTGGCGCAGAACAGCATCCGAATGGCATGTCTTTGAACGAGCAATTGTCAAAAACGTCAGTACAGTCGTCCATGAACTGGAAGGGAAACGGATACTTTAATTGTTTAATTAACAACAATAGGGTATTGTTTTATTGGGAGGAAAAATTATACTTTTTGTGACGAGGCTGTACGTTTGACGTTACAGGCGAGGGACAAAAAGTACATTTTTACTCCGAATAGAACATGCTATTTTTTTTCAAACGCGACAAATAATTTTTTTAAACAATTTCAAGCGTTGCAAATAATATAAAAAGACTTGATATTATACTGGGCAAAAATCACAGAAGTATGTTGCAAAAATTCTTTTTTTGTTCGATTTCATTCAAATTTGGTAAAAACATTCTATGCCCGTAGGCCGTGAACCCTGTTAGTTTTGGCTGACTTGAGAGTGGTTGGGGGTGCTGGAGGGGATTTATAAAATGGAAAAATGATCTTTTGACTAATACAGCTACCAAAATGCGGTAAGAATATTTTACATTTCACTAAATTTTACGATTTTTGGCAGAGCCAAGATGAAACAGACAAATATTGAGCAATTATTACTCCTCCGCCATATACAGGGTGTTTTATATATTGACATCCTCTGTATCTTTTTTATTCGACGTTTTCGAAAAGTGTCTTGAATAAAAGTTTAATGGTCTCGAATACATTTTTCAAAACAGTCTTCTTTGCATATACAGGGTGCCTTAGAAATCCTGTGTGGCCCAACTTTCTTATTTCAAATTAGTACCCAATTTTTTTATTTTATTTTTATTTTCTCTAAAAATCCTAACTACTTTTTGGTAGCATAGCCTATATATACCTAATTTGAAATAAGATAGTTGAACCACGCCCCGACTTTTTGAAGCACTTTGTATATGCGAAATAGACTTTTGGCAAATTTATTCAAAACCATTTTCATTTAAGACAGTTTTCGGAAACGTCAAATAAAAGAGATAAAGTGTCAATGTATAAAAAACCTAGTATACTGAAAATCCAATCGAACTTCTATTCAAGATTGTTTGTCATTTGCATAAGTTGGGTCTTTAATAATACCAGACAATATGTGAACAATATTTTATTATTATATTTTAAAATAAGTAACAATATTACAGGAGAATTAAACAATGACGATTTAGAAAATAACAGAACTTATACCTATTAAAAATATCTAAATTTTATTTTACCATCTACTATTTACTGATATTTTTGTTTTTACATAACAGCTGGAAGCAATGGTCACGAAGTGCACATTTTTAAATCTGAAGAAAAATCAAAATTTTATTTAATTTAAAAAATTAGGTACTATCAAAATTTGTCAATTTGTCAAAAAATGTCATTTGACGTTTATGACATACTTCTTCTAGAAATCTTGAGAACAGTTACGTAACTTTATATTTCAAATTCTTCTCTAGCTCTAGCTACTATAACAATTAATTTATGAAATTATCCATAAAGAGATTTACCTTACACGCACGCATGGAGGCTAACGCTTCCAATAAAGTTAATGTTGCGATTTTGCGATTTTTTTACTTAACTTTTCTAAGATAGATTATATGCCACTATCAAAAAAACCTTAAAAGTATTGTTCTTTGCTTTACTAGTTTTATCCAAAAAATCAAAATAAAAAGATACTTTCTTACTTACCTTCACATTAAATTTACCGCAACCTGGAATCCACGTAAAACACGTTATGACTTTACAATAATTATTGACAGTAAGCTAAGGTCGTCCGATTCAATTGTTATAATACTGTGTCACTTGAATGCAACCCTACTACTTAAAGGTGGCGAAAAGACGTTCGTCGGACACCGAAATGTAGGTTTGCGCAAAATTTGTTTACAGCCCTCGAAAAGAGACTCGAACATGTGTTTTTTGTTGGTTTTATGTGGTTTCTTCTTAACTAATATGTTTTCAATCTAATGTTATTGCCATAAATGCTAACTGTCGATGTTATTTTTTGCAACTTGGTTTGGACATATTGCCTACTGTGGGGCGGTCCGAATTGAATTCAGCAAACTTTGGCAGCATATTCTGCAGATAAAATAAGTAAAAAGTTCGTATAAATGTATGTCCCTAAATGCTTCGTTTCGGAATACAGGGTCAATAGAAGTTTCATTTTATTTCGATTTTTTCAAATAATTTCTGAAGTAACGTCAATATTTAGATGAAAATTTTTTTTTTTTTTTTTTTTTTTTTAATAAATTTGATTTTATGTCAATATGACTCTTATTTATAGAAAGCCCCACCTACATATGTTTAACTGTTTTGGAGAGTAATAACTTTTCGTCCGCACCTGTATAAAACTACTGAGTGAAAAAAATATTCGTGATTTTTTACACTTCATTTCTTTGTAAAAATCAAGTTCTCAAGATATTTAGAATGGAAAATGGTCAGTACATGTCATTATTGACAAAAATAAACATCATTGAGTGAATAGTTATTTGACTGAAATGATAGTTGGGAACCTTTCATTTTTTAAATTAATCATAAAATTTTCTGAAATTCTAAACACTTTCTATTGGACTTTTGGCACAAAAACATTAAAAATTTATTATTTCAGTCTGATAACTGTTTAGTCAACATTCTTAATATATGTCAATGATGACAGGTATTGATCATTTCGATTCCAAATATCTCGAGAACCATTACACGTAGCGATTTTACCAAGACTTTTACTTTTACAAATTCATAAAAATATTGTCCAAGGTGTTTAGGATATATGGCTATGTTTATATTTAAAAAAAATTATATGTTTTTCAATTCATTTTTTGAAAAACCAGGGCAATAATTCCAGAATATGACCTTGTCCCAACATATACTTGTTAGGGCTCGTAAATCGAAAAATATTAAATGATAACACCCTGTATCTACAAACAAAAGCTGAATCGGACCTATGTTGATATGATACGAAAATAAATCTTTTTTTATGTGAGGAATCTCCCCATGAGGAGATGGCACATGTTTTTGAAACACCCTGTATAGTATACCTTGTAAATATAATTTCTAATGTCCTCATTTTTATCAATGTACGTGTCAGCTTCAGTATATTTCTTGGTGAATATCGGTATAGAATCGAAATCAAGTTTGGTTAAATCATAGATAAAATCAGCTTTTTGAAGATCCTGCGTAGTACTATTTTCCCTGGAAACAGTAAAAAAAAATACACACAATAAATATTCTGAAACCAAATAAGTTTTCTTCTAAACAAAATAAATGCAATATTTATAATTAATTTGTTTAATATAATTTAAAAAATAAAGGGTATTTTATGAAAAAATATAGAATTTTTGTATTTTAAAACAAAGAATGTGATCCTTTCAGTGCAGTACCTTTATATACAACTTAGTAGAAGCCAGTTTGGCTTTATCTAAATCCGGTTTCGGGTTATTGACTGTTTACAAACTACGCAAACTTGCGCTAAAGTTTAATGAATAATTTCTAGAACATCGTAGCCAGAGGTAGGTCTGAGGAGTTACTTTGAAAAGAAATTTGCGTCGTTCAGTCAGTGTGACCCGGAAGTTTATGAGCTTATGTTAGATTATCCCGATATTCATGTTTTTATCTCACTTGAGATTACAGTTAAGGGAGCAGTTTCGAAAAATAAAATTTATTTTCTTAAAAGGTCCGGAAATTAAATTTATCTCCGAAACTAAAGTTCCAAGAAAGAGTGGCAATATATCTACAAATTCATTTCCCACTGAAAATGGAATATAGAAAGCATTTTTGGTACACTCTGTCTCAAATAGTTTTTTTTTTCTGAAAATAAAATTAATTTTCTTAAAAGGTCCGATTAAATTTATATCTCGAAACTAAAGTTCCAAGAAGAGTCGTAATATCTACATTCATTTTACCCACTAGTAGATATAAAAGCATTTTTAGTAAACTCTGTCTCAAATAGTTTCTGAAAAATAATTAATTTTTCTTAAAAGGTCCAAGATTAAATTTATATCTCCTAACTAAAGTTCCAAGAAAGATCGTAATATATCTACAATTCATTTTACACACACACACACACTAGAGATATAAAAAGAATTTTTGGTAAACTCTGTCTCAATAGTTTTCTGAAAAATAAAATTAATTTTCTTAAAAAGATTGATTAAATTTATATCTCGAAACTAAAGTTCCAAAGAAAAGTCGTAATATATCTACAAATTCATTTACCCACTAGTAGATATAAAGCATTTTGGTAAACTCTATCTCAAACCAGTTTTGAAAAACCAAAAATTAATTTTCTTAAAAGGTCCGTTTTTCTAGAAAAGTCCTTGAATTGATTCTATTTTATTTCATCAGATAAGGTGTAGTATATCTTATAAAATTATATAAAATAAAATATCATGAAATATAAAAAAAAAAATAATACAATGAAATACAAAAAATGATACAATGAAAATATCAAACACTTCTCTAAATAAAATGATTTTTTTTGTTAAATTTTGAGAACCACTGTATTTTCTCGGACATGTTAATTTAATCTACTACTATTTATGTTGCCATATTATTATATTTGTTTACTTAATATTTAAATTTTTTTATTAAAAAACATATTTTCAATTTCTTTTTCATGAAAAAGGCAACGGCCCAGCCACGTCGAAACACCGGTTCCCATTAGAAGTTAAGCGACGTAAGGCGATGCTTGTGGATGGACGGGTGACCGGTTCGAAACTCTGTATCGTGCTGTTGTCCAAAAGGCAAAATTAGCAAATCTATTGACACACACTGCTCATTCACGCCGGTTCGAGGCTGGATGAGATCAGATATCTCGTGAGTAAGGGTCGATTTAGACACTTGCCAAAAGTCGGTAGGCCATTGACCATGATATGGCCGAGGACCGCGGTTCGGATTCCGCGTAAACGAAGTAGGCTCCGTCCAGAATAGCCTGGCAGCAAAGAAGGAGACGTTAACTGAAAAAAAATAAAAAAAAAAATGTTTTTTTTCGCGAAAAAAACAACTCATAGACGTGTTTCTGGAGTCGAAATATACTACGGTTATAAATATTTGCACTTATTAAAACTTACCTTGTATAAGGAGATTAAAAATAAATATATTTAAACAGTAAAAATAAATATCTATTATTCCAAAAAAGATTGGTCAAAAACTTGCAATAAAAGCACAAAATTAAATAAAAATCTTACGTTATGTCCAGGAGCCTCCTGATTTGTTCTTGTTTAGCAGGATCGGTAGGACACAGTATGACAGCAGGAAACGGTACTTCCCAGTTATGAAAATCCGTGTCCAGTCCTGTGATTGTCGGATTGGTCTGGAACTTTTCCCATAGACTAAATATCACCACCACTGTAGCAACTGCTCCGATCAAAACACAAACAAACCACAAAATCTAAAAAAAATGTTTTTTTTTTATTAAAATATTCATTTTTAATTCTCCATATATTAAAAATATTATACAGGGTCTTCGATTAAAAAAAACGAAGAAAAATTATTTTATATTTTAGAAAGTTTAGCGATTATGAACATCCTGTATGATTTACGGTTACCACATTTATAGCAAAGAAAGATGACAGACCATCTAAAGTAAATTTTTTTTTTTTTTTTTTTTTAAACCAAAATTTAGTTCTTGTATTTTTTAATATTTTTTTTTAGAAAGGCTGAAAATGGATATTTTTTATTTATTTGTTAATATCTCTGAAACTACCGAAATATATTTACTCATGTCTTTAGATATGTAAAAATGTCCCAAAAGAGCCAAAAATGCAATAATATACAGAGTGCCCTTTTAAAGGCTCAAATCAACCCGATAAATAAACTTTAGTCACCCTGTAGAAGTTAAAATATTTTCGAGAAATACATCCTAGTACACTTAGACAAGGAAAGAGAGGGGACAGGTAACACGGTAGCTGAAAGTGAAGCCACTTGTCACCAAGCGAAATTCTCCAATGGCGTAGCATCAGAAATTAGCTTGTACCTAGACGATACAAAATATTTATTAAAACGTAAACTAATATATCGTTCATTTTTGAGTAATGCATATACAATTTTGTATTTTATAATCTCACCTTTATAATATTAGAATATCTAAGTCAATAATGCAAAATTTATTTAACAGTCACATTGGACTGACCATCAAGACAATCAGGGCCTAATTTACCATAAGGCCCATAAGGCCCGGTGGTTTGGGGGGCCCGTTAAAGGTTGTAAAATGTTCATAATTTCAAATGTAAATTTACATAGCAGAGAAAAAAAAACAGTTACTTCTTGATAAGAAAAATAGAATTAAATAAAATAAGCTTTAGATTGATATAGTTTTTGTTTTTTTTTCATTATTTTGTTGAATATAATAATGTTTATTTATTTTTTTAAATTATTAAAAATATAAAAATAAAAATAATTGTTTTATTTTTTTAACCCAAACTAACAAAAATTTTTGAATTTTATTGGAAAGGAGGGCCCGAATTTTTGCTTGGGCCTTAGGGCCCGACCAGATGAAAAATAGGCCCTGAAGACAGTTATTTATTTATTAACGTGTGTATAATGAATAATTAAATAAAAAATAATGTAAATAATAATCAACGCTTTTAAATGGAAACACCCTTTTTGTACAGGAGATAGACAAAAACTAATATCGGTGTCTAAAGCTCAATTTTTGTCAAAAATATGATGGTGAAAACCGCATATCGATATCTGTTACCGTTTCGGAGTTACGGGGTGTTATTCAAAAATATGCATTTTTAACAAATCGCTGTAACTTTTTTGCTATGGAACATTTTATTTTTATGAAAACATTTCCAAAGCACCTTTTACGTAAATTTAATGGTTTAAGTATAATTTTTTAAAATTAATAATTTAAGAATTATCAACAGAAAATTTAATTTTTTATATAGGACACCCTGTAGATTTTTAAATTTATTGAAAAATTTAAAATTACCTTTCAAAAATAAAACACACTTGATATTTTGCTCGATTCCTCTTTGAGATATAGAGTATATAAAAATTCGCCAGCTTTAAATAAGTAGGCTTTGCACCGGCTGTAATGCAAAAAAATTCTAGCTGTGAGCATCAATTAAAACGAAAATAACATTTGCTATGAGAGATGCAGATGCAATAGCAAACCAAGATATGAGATTTTGCTACAGGTTTTCGACATATCGACCGTCTTTTGTTATGGACAGACGGGGCAGTTTTTGAACATTTCTCGCGGAATTCATTAACTCAGTGGGGGTGAAAGATACCCTCTGACAACTGCTAAGTATTTCTATTTTGTCTAGATTATACGGAGAATAAGGAACCTTTATTCTTCCTCAAATATATCTATAGGATTAGATTCATGGGCACTAAGTCAGGCAGCCTCGACAGCCAACAGCTGGGATCTTGGTTAATATAGCGATTCAATTATTCTTGAAATTGGCTGCAAATTTGCTAATAACTTCAACGTTCAGAGGCAGTGCGTCGTTTTGCTGGAAAATATGTTTTCGAATTCCATTAAGGGCATATCATCATTAAGGGGTCCAAAGCCTATCTAGTTAAAAAGTGGCGAACTTTGAAAATTCTGTATTTCAAAGGGATTATAACAAAATATCAAGTGTGCTATATTTTTTGGAAGGCTTTAAATTCTTTTCAGTTAATTAAATATAGGGTGTCCCAAATAAAAAATAATTTTTCTGTTGATAACTCTAAATTATTAATTTAAAAAAATTATACTTAACCATTAAATTCTACGTAAAAAGGTACTTTGGGGATGTTTTCATAGAAATACAAAAAATTTTCCATAGCAAAAGTTACAGCGATTTGTTAAAAATGCACATTTTGAAAAACACCCGTAACTTTCCAGAAACGGTAACAGATATTGATGCGGTTTCACCATCATGTTTTTGATAAAAATTAAGTTCAGACACCGATATTAGTTTTCGTCTATCTCCTATAGAAAAGGGTGAACATTTCCAAAGCGTCGAATTTGACCCACCCTGTACATATGCCGTATGATAATGAAAAATGATATAGAAAAAACGGCGTCCTGTTTGTTTAAATGACGATCGATGACATTCCCCATATATAAAATGACGCGAAGCCATATAAAACGACATCGAAAGAAGACGGCGTCAGCGATGGCTATGAAATGAAGATCGCTGTCATTAATTAGTTATAGTACACAACATTAATTATAGTACAGGATATTGAAAATACTACTTGGAATTATTAAAAATAGTTTGGTTTAGATGTGGTACAAGACATATTAAAAGCATTTTATATTTTACTGCTATAATGAAATGTGCATTTTGTAACAGGGTTTATTATCGATTTTTTACCTGTGAAATGTAATTTCAGCCACTTTTTCTCGCTTCGGCCTTTGCAGCCATACGCTGAACCACCATACTAAACAACACAGTTTATAAATTTAAAACAAAACAGTAGTCACTAAAAACACAAAAATTCGCTCGGTGTCACCTAGAAATCTTGTCACCAAAGTATGGCCGCTGATCAATTTTGGCCTCAAAACGACCACTGGAGGATATGCGTGTTACCCGTCCCTCTCACTTCGCGGCCAGCTGGTGCATTATCTACCCGAATTATTACCCAATTCATGGTAACGCCTAAAAGTTAGGTGACATAATTATATAGTTTTCATAGTGACGACGATATCCGCTTCTCGATATCCTTATAGACCAGGAGTTCTTACAGGACCACTACTAATTCTTGTACTACTTTTTTTTATCGCAATGGGACATATTTAATACAGGGTCCGTATTAGATTAGAAATATTAACTACAAATTATACAAATATAGCTGATTTGAATAAAATCTGGCATAATTTATCCATTTTCAACACAACGCAAACCGTATACTTCTTTTCCAAAACTTTTCCCCTAAAATTTCCCTCTATTTACCAACATCTGCCTCTTTATACGAACACAAAATTCGAATGTTACGGACACAGTAAATAAAAGCAAATCTGTCTGTCGTTGGCCCGAACAAAGCAGCAAAGAGAACGTCTTCTTTCGTCTTATTGGAAAACTTTCAAGATGGTTCTGCCCGCCCCGCTTGTTTTTGCGAGGTTTAAGTGTGGCCGGAATGGCATTTCATCTTGACATCGCATAAAATAGGTTTAGGGATACATAAACATTATTTTATGGAATTTTATTCGCAATGTCAACAAATAAAGTTTAAGAGAATACTCGAAAAATGAAGACATACGAAATTTATAAGACTTTTTTTGCTAGAGAAATATTTTATTTTATCTACAACCTTTGTAGCGTTTCCGGCAAGTAAGTCCGGCAATAGTGCGTCTTGCATCTGTAGCTCCGAGAATAAAAAAAACTTGAGATTTTTTTTTAAATGTAAGTAGTAAAACGGCGCGCGGCGTCAGCAATGGCCAAAGACATTAAATCTATGGCAATGGCTATGAAATGAAGATACATTTTATATGTATATTTATATGAGAAATGTCATAGATCGTCATTTCCCAGCCAAGTGAAAGCTGTTTTTTTTTCGATTATACAGTATTTAAAGCACGCACTCAATCCCTTACTCTAGAACAATTATTTTAGTTAAAAAATAACATTTTTTTAAGTCTTTCGAAAAATATAAAAAATATAAAAAAAATTAAAACTTGGCAGAATTATATACTTCAATAAATAAATAAAACGTTAGAAAAAATGCAAACGTAACAGCTTTATCAACAAATATTTTAGGGCTTATCTAGTGTTGTTTTTTTCTCGTGGAATTTCCCTATACTAATTATAAATTTCTGTTTAACTTTATATTCCTGTAAAATATAACATAACAAGATGTAAACAAAAGTGATGGCTATTAAACAAATATTTAAGAACTTCTCTAGCTATACTTGTTTCTGTGAAGTCTAGATTATTAATTAACCTAAAAACAGACGAAAAAGCAGCTAATTACTCGAGAGCGCGAGACAGCTCAAAATCCTCGGCCAGACTTCTCTAAGTAAATAAAACCGTCAGTTCGGAGAAAAAAGTAAAAAACACCAAAAAAAGCAGAAAAGAAGTTTGAAAGAAATCCGAATTAATTATGGGTGAGTTTTTGCCAACCCGATTAAAAAACTTCTCCACTTCTAACTCACAGATAAGCAATAAAAATCGTCTTGCTGTCAACGCGCAACGCTTTTCGAGTCGAGGTTAAGTTTTTAGTGGGATAAAAAACGATTAAAATCAATGAATAAGTATTTATTACATATATAATAAGCTTTTTCAAACTCCGCTAAATTCAAACCAAAAAATTTATTAAATTGTTTGTTTTTTGACCAAATATGATGTTAGGGTTAGACTGTAGAATCTGTAGAAACTGTAGAAATATATGGAAGAAAATATTCCATATCTTTTTGTAGAATATAATATATCTCCGTTCATTATTAAATTTAATAAGAGTGACAAAGAAGACAGTTTCATGTTTATTTGTCTTTTGGCCTCAAACTCATCGTCGGCATATATATCGATCAGTAACAATAATATCCAAAAAAACATGTCATTCCAAAATGATATTTTCCAATGTCTTGAACAGCAATAATCATTCCTCTGTATAAAGGAGGAGACAAAGATGAAGCTTCTAACTATCGCCCAATTGCACTCCTTCCAACACTATCTAAGATCATAGAAGGGTTGGTTAAAGAAAGGCTTGTATATCCTTTCTGTTTAAGTACAAAATACTTACTATTGAACATCAGTTTGGATTTCTAAGCAACAAGTCCACAAATGAGGCTATGTTTTCCCTCCTTAATAAAGTTTACTCAGCCTAAATAACCATCATTCTACAGCAACAATTTTTCCTTGATTTTTCTAAGGCGTTCGCTTGTGTAAATCATAAGATCCTAATAAATAAACTGCAGCACTATGGGTTCAGGGTAACATCTCTCGAATGGTTTAAGTCGTATCTGAGCAACAGAAGTCAACTTGTGAGGTGGATACCACGTTGTGTTCTATATAGCAAGCCAATAGAATGTGGAGTACCACAAGGCTCAGTACTAGGCCCTATTTTGTTTCTTCTTTTTATTAACGACATTGCTAACATAAACATCACATCAGTGGCAAAATATGTCTTTTTGCGGACGACACTAGCTTCACTTGGAGCAACAAGGACGTCACGGCACTTCATAGGATTATATCAAATGACTTAATCACCATTAAATCTTGGTGCGATTCGAACCTCCTGAGTCTCAACATTTCTAAAACTAAAGCTTTGTCGTATAAAAATTCGCTGCAGCCTTTTGTACTTAACAACACCACCATTGACGTCGTAAAATCTGTAAAATTCTTAGGGCTTGTTTTAGACAATTCTCTGAAATGGGACATGCATATCGAAGCTTTGTCGAAAAAATTGAGCTCTGTCTGTTTTGCATTAGATCTGTTTCTAAGGAGCTTAACTTCTCAGTGGCTAGAACTGTTTATTATGCACTTTTTAGTCGCACCTCAGGTATGCCCTTCCATTGTGGGGTACGTGTTGTGCGACTGAATTTGACCGCATTTTTAAGCTCCAGAAGAGAGCTGTTCGATATTCACTGGGACTAAACAGGAGAACTCATTGCTTTTTTACAAAATTAAAAATATTAACTCTTCCTTCCTGATTTATATTTGAATCCGTTTGCCTAATATATAAGCATGTATCAGCTTCTCAAGAAAGGCCATCTCACACTTATCCACTCTTTATCTTTATCTACCTACCCCACGCTCAGAGTTAGTTAAAAGTTTAATATTATACAACTCGAAAAAAATCACCTGCCATTTGAAATCAAATCTATAACATCATTTTCTTCATTTCGCAAAGCATTGAACTCTTATTTACTAGACGAGGCTTTCTACGCCGTAAATGAATTAAATTTTGATAATCGAATTTGATCTTGTAAACACTGGTCTAATGTTTGCTACTGCTATATTTACCAATGACACCGAAACAAATTTATTTAGAGATTATTGATACCTACTATAAACTAACTAAATATTTTTGAATATTATTTTTATTTGTTTTATTCTTTGACATTGCAAACATTTATAAATATTTATTTTAAACAATAAGACTGACAATATTACTTGTATAATGTTTTGTATTATCTTTTGTTTGTTTGTTTCTGTACCTTGTTTGTTTACTTTGTTTGTTTACTTTACCTTTATCTACAAATTGTAAAATTTTTTGACAATAAAAGCATTTATTTATTTAATAAAATTTTGAAAATCGTGTGCCTGACATAAATACATTATTTTGTTTTATATATACTTCCCTATTAGTTAGTTTTGATAAATAGCAGTAGCGGTAAAAAATCTGAAACTTCACTGAAATTTTATCCCTAAAAATAACCCTAAAAAATTTTACTCCCAGAAAAAGTCCAACACTGGTTGGGGGTACATACACTTATCGAATTTTTCAGATATTTTATTTATGACTCTATTCTAACTGTAAAATTTTTCTTTTAGAATCCTTTATTTGCCTATTAGAAGTTCGATCGATGGTGGTAAATCAACGGTAAGTTATCGCCGTTCACGCCCTCTATCCGCAACACCGTGAACCGAGAACAGTATTTCACTGATTATTTTTTCCTCTATTTTCTGCTCCACGAGTTCGGGAATTTCTTCAGTAAAATAGAGAATGAATTATGTATGATTTTGGAGGGAGATAAAGCAAAAACGAGAGTTACTTTTTGAACAGTCTTGTTCTTTTTCGAACAAAGAAAAAAATTCAATAAAAGATACATTGGAAATTAGAAGTAGAAGAGTTTACTTTTTGAACAGTCTTGTTCTTTTTCGAACAAAGAAAAAAATTCAATAAAAGATACATTGGAAATTAGAAGTAGAATTAATGCTGTAATTATTGATTAATGATCAGTGTGGATTGTACAGAGTGTTCCAATTTTGGTGAATTTTACAGGGTTATGAGTCGAGTTATTGTTTATGAGTCGAGTTACAAAGATGCGGTTTTCACATTGCTGTGCTACATTTTTATGAAACTAAAGATGTTGCATACAGATGTGTCCTAGCATTTTTAGTACCTGAAATACAGGGCGAATTTTAAAATGTTGCTTTTTTTACCTGTTGTATTTTTTAACGTGGGAAACCCTGTATATTAATTTTTTATTTTATTTGCCTTGTAGTTTTTTGGCTTTTTAGTAAGGCTTTTTAGTACCTCAAAGTCTAGGTGTAAAAATGATACCTTTTGTGGCTAGGTTGTACGTTTAACATTATAGGCGAGACACAAAAAGTAATTTGTGTCAATAATAACACGTATTGACTATTTCCATTCTAAATATTTTGATAACAGTTGCTCGTAGCAATTTTTAACAAGAGACATTTTTTACGTAAAAAATCACGGAAATGTATATTTTTTCACTCAGTAGTTTTATACAGGTACGGATGAAAAGTGATTACTCTTCAAATCAGTTAAAATACATGTAAGTGGCCTCTCCTTTTAATAGGAGTCATATTGACATGAAAATCAAATTTATCATGTCAAAAAACCTCCAGGTACCAATTTTCATCCAAATATTGACTTTAGTTCAAAAATTATTTGGAAAAAATCGAAATAAAAATGAAACTTCAACACCCTGTATCTCTGAAACTAAGCATTTTAGGACATACATTTATACAAACTTTTTTACTAATTTTTATCTGCAGAATATGCTGCCGAAGTTTCCGGAATAGAGTTCAGACCACCCTGTATATAGAGTAACTATGGTTACACTCATTGAATTCGACACTTTGTGTCAGTTTAATAATATAATTATCGTACTTTTGTGCTTAGGCGTAAAGTGCTTTACTTTTATGCCTAGGCTTTAAACTGACTTTTTTATATGTCAATCACGTCGAAAAAATAAATACTTTTATGACGATTTGAAAAAAAATATATATCGTTTTAATGTATTATAAAGGGCCTACTTGTAAGTTATATACATACTGACCTTTCCAGAAAGGGTCTGCCGTGTTCAGCAATATACTTTACGCCATGCAGAGTGGAGTATTCGAAGAATTCCCTCACTTGCACGGTCCAACTTATTTTCAGGTATTTATAGCTCGTCGAAATTCTCTTCCACAACAACTTCGACGCCTTTTTCGACATTTTTATATATAAAACGTGAATTCCGGTAGCGTGGAGTGTATCTCGTTAAGTCTAGAAAATATGAGAAGAATATATTAGTTAGGAATTAAAATAAACATAAATACAGGGTTGTTCACCACATACGACACGGAGTATTGTAGCTAAACGATTAGATTTTTACAAATTTATTTTTGAAGGCCTATTAGAGCTACAATTTAAAAATATGTTTACAAGATACAGAGTGTCCCAAATAAATAAAAAATATCAAAGTTGTATTATTTTAAATGGAACACCCTGCATATTTTTACATTGTTAGTTTCTACGATTAAAATTAAGGTAAATTTGATTAGGTTTATCACACTTAAACTTTACCGGTTTTGAAATATATTCAATTTTGTGAAATTGCAGAAAAAATTTTAAGGCTTCGTTTCTCCAAGGGTTATCAAAGTTTTTAATACTAAATATTTACTGAAGTTTATTTATTGATCAGTTATTGTACTGCAATAATAAAAATAATACTACCTTATACAGAGCGTCTAAAAATGTATTTTAAACAATTTCTAGTTTTAAACGGCAATAACTTGTTTAATTAAAATAGCACACCCTGTATATTTCAGGAGAATCAGATGCACAATTTAATTGTCTATTAAATTGTATTATATCATTTTTAACCTATCCCTTTAAGTTTTTGTAGAAAATGCATTTTCTTTTAATTTAGACCTCATTTATCAAAATATGAATATTGACATTTTAGATTGTTTTTAAAGCAACAAATGTCAAAAATGTACCGTTGATAAAAACGATAATATTACTAGCCTATTTATATACAAAAAGAAAACTATTTAAATCTTTATAAAAGAGTATACCATTAATTAAATATATCATCATTACTTCTGCTCAAAAATATTAATTAATTACATACTTAATTGTGTTAGTTAATACAATTATTTTAAACAAATGTGGTTTTGAATAAGAAAGCAATACAATAATAAGTTATGAAAATGAACGTCTCTGTTGTTATAAATAAGCATTCGTCAAAAAATGAAAAAAAAATTAAGGTGTTACTTTTTACCACACTGTCTAATACACATACAAAATTCAGATTTTTAATATTTGGATCAAATATTATTAATCAACTTAAACAGTCAATTAATGTAGTTTGAATACTAGAATCATATTAATTGGTCCTCTTTAACAAATATTTAAACAGTTTTTTTTATTTTTTAATGAAATAAACGACTATAAAACTATATCGACAATGTTAGTATCTGTACTCTTTAAAAATTTGTTACATCTTTAAAAATAATCTAAAATGTCAATAATACTCCATGGGTGATAAATGAGGCCTAAATTATAAGAAAATGCATTTTCCACGAAAACTTGAAGAGATAGGTAAAAATGGTATAATACAATTTGATAGACAATTAAATTGTGCATCCGATTCTCATAAAATATACAGGGTGTTCCATTTAAATTAAACAAGTTATTGCCGTTTAACGTTAGAAATTATTTAAAATAAATTTTTAGACGCTCTGTATAAGGTAGTATAATTTCTATTATTGCAACCTTTGAATAAGAAGACTAAGGAAGGAGCATAATGCTATCCATGTATTCATGCATGGTGGGCGGAAAAAGCACTCTAGGGTGGGATCCTTCACAGTTCTGTTTGACGATTCATTTGACACATTTGAATTTGATTTGAAATTTTGTGGATTTGTCAGTCTTCACGGAGCTTATTTTATGTTATTTATTATTTATTCTACTACTGATAGTTGTATAAAGGTAGTAAATCTAGATGGAAATTGTGGCAGAACTTAAATTAACAGTGACACTATCGCGATTTATCGAAAAAGGCTCTAAAATAGTTGGTTGTGTAGCGTGCGGTAGATCTCGGCAAAAATCCAGTGAAATAATGGAACAACTTTTCGCTAGTAAGTGACTATATAATATACATACGTGTAGTAAACCGATAATTTATGAAATTCACTTAAATTAACTAATTATATTTTTTCTTGCATTTTTGCTTTTATTTACTATTGTCAAAGATTAGATGTCAAAGAATTTAGATACGTTAATTTGACTTACCTGCTTCAGTAGCGTATCGGATGTTTGTGTTAATAAATAACTTATTATAACTTATCTATTTTTTATTAGAATTATATATTTTTATAACAATTTTAATAACTACCAACATTTGCATTCACAACGTAAAAATAAAACAACAAATTATTGAGTCTACCCACGTCTACCTACTACATCATAGTTTCACATTTTTTAAATAAAATTAGAACGACACTGATAAACCGGAATTTAAGTCGGCCATATTTGAGGCCCATCGCGGTGTACCTAAGATTTTTGATATGCTCCTTCCTTAGTCTTCTTATTCAAAGATTGCAACATAAAATTTAGTAAATAGAAATTCTTCAGTAAAATATTTGGTTTTAAAAACTTAAATACGCCTAGAGAAATGAAGCATTACAATTACTGTATTTTTACAAAAACCTAAATATTTCAAAAACGGTAAGATTAAAATGCGGTAAATCCTAATCAAATTTACCTTTATTTTAATGGTAGAAACTAAAAATGTAATAATATACAACTTTGATATTTTTTATTTATTTGGGACACTCTGTATCTTGCAAAAATATTTTTAAATTGTAGCTCTAATGGTCCTTCGACGAACCCAAAATTTACAATTTGCAAAAATCTAATCGTTTAGCTACAATACTCCTTGTCGTATGTGGCCAACCCACCTGTATATTCTATTGAAATATTTCATTATATCAAACACCCGAATTACGGCGTATAATGATGAAATTGCTGTCTGTATGCCTTTAGAATTTGTTCAGTGTTTACGAGCTGACGCATAGGTTTCACGTCTCGAGTATCGTGCGAATAGCGGCCATATATGTGTACTATAAAATTTCGTGGCGCTAAAACGCAAGAGTGAAGTGCCAGCTCTTTTATTTATATACACAATTTTTCTAGACGTGTGCAGGATTCTCAAAAGTCGGAAGAACGGGGCTTAATTTTTTACGATTCCCTGCAATACTGCCAGTGGCTTATCGCAAAAGAAAATCGAACAAAATATTAATAATATTTCAGCTTGTATCATACAGTCTCTCAGGGCTTTGACAAAAGCCAGTATCTGAGATGGTTTTATAGAGGTTAGTTCTCCATCCAGTTTATGACACGAATGGTTCTCTTCTTGGAGCACTCAGTGATAATGTGTTTTGGTGTTTCTTAGCTTTAATCTACTGAAGTGTTTTTTGAGGAGACAGTGTCCTGTTAAAAACCCAGTGCCAATCCGAAAATAGTTCTTACTTTACCTTTATCAAAGAGTAGATAAGACAAGAGACGACAGTGAACAAAGAAGTCGAATTTCGCGAGAGAGACGCAGATATATTAAAATTTAAAGGTCCCATCAAGTCCCATTTTGTCTGTTGCCAAGTATATTTCTTTGAAAAATAAACAAAATTTTCTGAAAATAAATTAATAATATAAGAAGAATATAAGTAACGTATGTTAATACGGAAATGTAAATTTTTAGTTTAGGTTGGTTTAGGTTCTTTTTTCGCAATGTACTGATAATATCAAAGAAACAGAATGACTAATAATTGATCGATTTCAAAGATAAACGATAAAATCTGAAAATCTGACAACGGCGTATTTTATTTATTCTAACCTATGATTTTAGGACGCTAATCAGATGTGCTAATCAGGTTTAAACATAAACAAATCTGATTAGTTGTTTTCTTGCATTTTTGCCTTTTTAAAGTGTGTGTTTCAGAGTTTTTCGATATATTATCGTTTTGAGAGTTTTTAAGGTTTAATTTTAGTATCGTTTTTGTTGCGTACTAATTTGTAATTATTGTTAAATATGAATACTGAACAGGACACGAGTAGCAGGAAAAGACGAGATGGTGGCAATGTGTGTGCTTATAAAGACTGCAAAAATAGGTCTTATTCCACAATATTCCCAATAGGTCCACAAACATAATATTTCACTCGTTTCCAAAGGATCCTGAAAAGTATTTTTATAGAAATATACTATATAATTATGTTATTAAACTAAATGTAATCCATAGATCGAAGACATGGTTAGAAGCTTGTAATATATTTTTACAAAAAAATTGAGCAATTCTATTTTTTTGTACATAAACTCCACATTGTGATATTGTAGAATGGACGGGAGTTAATCAACGCGACCTTATAGATCTATTGTGTGTTCATTGTAATATTACACTTGTTCAAGTCCATATGTAAAAAAAATACACGTAAATAAAACACTTCTTACAAATCGACTTGGTCATTTTATCTTGTTTACCAACGATATACAAAATATTGCTTTTATTATCTTTATTCCCCGACAAATATGTTTTTAATTATAATTTATTTTATATAATATTTAGAAACTTATTTTTTTTTTCGTTTCTATTTATTTCTTTACCCATACAGTAACTATTTATAAGCTATACAGGCAAGTTTTAATAATAGTCTATTTCAAATTTCCCGCGAAAAAGTTACGAAAATTTAAAGGGACAAGCGAGACGAGGTCACTCTCCCTACCACTCAAACATGAAAGGTACCGCGCGAACTGTCGTCTCTTGTCTTATCTACTCTTTGCCTTTATTATAATAGGAGAATAGTCAATTCTGGTAATGTTGCTAAAGATACATGGTCTATTGTGAATGATTTGAGAAACAAAGCTTCTTCGTCTAGCAATATCTCTACCTCACCTGAGAACCTTAACGATTACTTTGTAAATGTAGCGAAAAACTTAACTAATACCATACGTCCTTCTCATGATCCACTTTCATATCTCTCTAATGATTGTGTAAACTCACACAGTTTCTTTCTTTCGCCAGTAGTTTTAGAAGAGCTTCGCAGTACAATTAATACCATCAAAAATAAATCCTCATCTGGGACCGACGGGCTAACTTTAAAAATGTTTTCGAATCTGCCAGAAACACTCTGAATCACCTAACTACTTTAACAAACATGTCATTCCAAAATAGTATTTTTCCAAAATGTCTTAAGACGGCAATAATAATTCCTCTGCATAAAGGAGGAGACAAAAATGAAGCTTCTAACTATCGCCCAATTGCACTCCTTCCAACGCTATCTAAGATCATAGAAAGGTTGGTTAAAGGAAGGCTGCTATCTTTTCTGTTTAAGTACAAAATACTTACTGAACATCAGTTTGGATTTCTAAGCAACAAGTCCACAAATGACGCTATGTTTTCCCTCCTTAATAAAGTTTACTCCAGCCTAAATAACCATCATTCTACAGCAACAATTTTTCTGTGATTTTTTCCTAAGGCGTTCGACTGTGTAAATCATAAGATCCTAATTAATAAACTGCAGCACTATGGGTTCAGGGGAACATTTCTCGAATGGTTTAAGTCGTATCTGAGCAGCAGAAGTCAACTTGTGAGGGTGGATACCACGTTGTCTTCTAACAAGCCAATAGAATGTGGAATACCACAAAGCTCAGTACTAGGCCCTATTTGTTTCTTCTTTTTATTAGCGACATTGCTAACATAAACATCAGTGCCAAAATATGTCTTTCTGCCGACGGCACTAGCTTCACTTCGAGCAACAAGGACGTCACGGCACTTCATAGGATTATATCAAATGACTTAATCACCATTAGAGAAATCTTGGAATTTGCGATTCGGAACCTCTGAGTCTCAACATTTCTAAAACTAAAAAGCTTTGTCGTATAAAAGCTCGCTGCAGCCTTTTGTACTTAACTCCACCACTGACGTCGTAAAATCTGTAAATTCTTAGGGCTTGTTGTTGACAATTCTCTGAAATGGGACATGCATATCGAAACTTTATCGAAAAAATTGAGCTCTGCCTGTTTTGCATTAAGATCTGTTTCTAAGGAGCTTAACTTGTCAGTGGCTAGAACTGTTTGAACTGTTATTATGCACTTTTTGAGTCGCACCTCAGGTATACCCATTCATTCTGAAGTACGTGTTGTGCGACTCAATTTGAACGCATTTTCAAGCTCCAGAAGAGAGCTGTTCGATATTTACTGGGACTAAACAGCAGAACTAATTGCCAGGACTTTTATAAAAAATTAAAAATAATGTCTTCCTTCCTTATTTATATTTGAATCCATTTGCCTAATACGTAAGCATGTATCAGCTTCTCAAGAAAGGCCATCTGACACTTATCCACTCAGGAACATGGAGCAAGATCTTTATCTAACTACCCCACGCTCAGAGTTGGTTAAAAGTTCAATATTATACAACTCGAAAAAAATGCACAATCACCTGCCATTTGAAATCAAATCCATAACATCATTTCTTCATTTCGCAAAGCATTGAACTCTTATTTACTAGACAGGGCTTTCTACATAAATAAATAAATTATGATAATCGAATTTGATCTTGTAAACACTGGTCTAATGTTTGCTTTTGCTATATTTACCAATGACACCAAAATTATTTAGGGTCATTTTGGTAAATATAAAAAAGCTGAAATGCATTCAGTGGAATCAGAAATTCATTATCAAACTCGCTACGGCACCCTCGTCTGTAAATAAGGTTCAATGCTTTTGCAGAAAATATTGTTAACAATTTATTTCAAGCGAACGGTTATCTCGGGCTTTAACAACTCTGAAGCGTGAGAGACAAGATGGTGGTGATCAGATGAGCATTACCCTGCTTACGTGACAACGGAAATGGTCAATGAAAGGAAGGATATGACACAATTTTTAAAGTCCTGGCAATGAATTCTGCTGTTTAGTACCAATGAATATCGAACAGCTATAATGCGTTCAAATGAGGAATCGCACAGCACTTTCAACAGTGCGACTTCAAAAGATTAATACTGGTTAAGCACAGTTCGATTAATAGATGAGCAATCAACTAGCTTCTGTTGAAATTAACCTAAAGCTACGTTCGATGAAGTGGCGGAGGATCGATCACCAGGCAATGGTGATTATCATTCGCAAGTGGCAATCATGGCTCACAACATTGCGCAGAAAGAAAGCAAATGAGAACTACCGATTGTGGCTTGCTAAGCCTCTGGTAACGGGCTGACAGAAAATCTGAACATGGTGCTGCAGTTTAGTGGTGGGACATGTTCGCGCCTGCGTCACAGAAAGTAACGGCAGGAATGATGTTGGGCTGAATGTTTTATTGGAGGCTGCTGCGCCCAACGAACTTGCTGAAATCAGGCTGATGCGGCAACGGCCTCCCCAACCAACCTTTCTATGATGGAGCTAGCATTGAAGCGACAGTAGGCCGACTGAACAGAAGCTTGCTCTCACTGTAGAGGAAAAACTGGAATGACATGTTTGTTAAATCAGACAGGCTGTTGAATTCAGCACATTTACAAGACCGTCGTCCCGACTCGAAGTTGTTACGATGAACGTGGCTGTGCTGCAATCTGCTTCTGGCGAAGCTGATTGGAAGGGTGGTCATGGCGTAACATTACAAAGTAATCGTTGGGTTTCTCAGGTGGTCTCTTGAACCTGAAATCACGTCATCACAACGACCACACCAGGGTGACCATTATGAAGACGAAAAGATATAAGACAGATTTTGGCTTCGGTTCGCGCGTGTGATCGCTGCTAAGCCTGGCTTTCGCGAGGAAAATTAATAGACAACCAAAACTGCTTGCAAGGCACGAATGAAATAAACGAGGATTTCTAATGTTAAAATAAATTATGGTCATCGAGGTAAAGAAAATAATAAAGCAATATTTTACTGTAATAGATTGACCAAGCTGAAAATAAAGTCATTTGGCAAAAAAGTGTTTTACTTGCGATATTGTTTTACATGGACGAACAGTGTAATACAGTAACACAGCCTCGCGTTGATCCAGTATTAGCGAAAAATGGGGATTTGCTCGATTTTTGTGAAAAGCTGATACCAACCACGGATTTAGTAACATATGGTATGTTCTATAAAGCTTTTGCGGAATCGCGCTGGTGGTAGTGTGGAATAAAACCTATTTTACATGCTCAAATTACAGAATAATACGCAACAAACTTGACTGCTAAATAAACATAAAACGATGTCTCATCGAAAACTCTGGCTACTTTTAAAAGGCAAAAACTCATCGAATTTGTTTATATTTAAACACGGTCCAACACATCGATTAACGTCAAAATCATGAGTTGACAAATAAAATGCGCCGTTACATCGTTGTCTTTGAAATCGATCGGTATTGTCATTCTGTTTCTTGATATTCGGTACGTGCGGCGACAAACAACACAAACTAAAATTTGTTCCGCACACATACGTTACTATATTCTTCTATGATATTAATTTATTTTCGAAAATTTGTTTATTTTTCAGTATAACGACGACAAAATAATAGCAAGTACAACTGCGTCTCTCGCAGAATTCGACTCTTCGCAGTAGATATCTACTCTTTGACTCTGGAGTAAATACTCGGCGGTGGGACATCCTTTCGATAGACTACTGAAGCCATTCGTGTCTGGATGGAAGAACCAACCCCTCTAAACCATCTCGGGCCACTGACTGTCAAAGCCAATGATCTGGCTGAAATGTGTGTTGTTCGTTTCTTGCGACTGTCGCTAACTCACTTTGTACACACGTCTAAGCGACCAGTGTGCGCAAAGGCGGCTCACTCTTGCGTTTGCCACATATATGACGTACGACCTCGGACGTGTTGCTAAATCGCTGGAACAAATGAAGGCGCTACAGGCTGGCTGTTCATTATACGCAAGCAATTGATATAATGTAATAAATTATACAGAGATGATTGTGCCTGAAATATTAACAACTAAACGACAGATTTTTATATACAAAAAGAAAAAAAAAAAAAAAAAAAAAAAAACTGATTAAATATTTTTTTTTTATTTTAGTAAAAAATATCAAAGTGTACTTTTTTAGTTTCTACCGACAAAATAAGGCAAAAAGAACTGATTAGGGTACCGTTTTAATATTTGGGATGCTTGTAAAATACGGTAATAGCTTCATTTCTCAAACTTTAAGACACAAAAACCAAATATTTGCTGAAATTTCTATTTAAACACATGTTTAATCTTTGAACAGGAAAGGCATATCACTTAGGCACGACAAAGTCCGGTTTATCGAGTGATAAGACTAATTTTATTTAAAAATGAGGCTGATGTAGTAACAATTTGTTGTTTACGTTGTGTAGTGAATGCGCGTTATAAAATATGAATAAAAATGAATGAGATACTATAAGCTGATAACACAACATCGATAAACAACGTATCTAAAATGCTGACATCTAATCTTTGACAAGTAATCTGAAATAACTATAATTTGGTAATTTAGTCGTTACTACGTAATAACAATAAAA